TCTTCGTGTTATAGTTTTTTCTCTGAACTATATAATTATTGAATTGAATGTCATTACGGACAGGAAGCAATCTTTTTCTTTTTTTTTTTTTTTTTTCACCAACGATTAAATATCGAACATTGTACTAATTCTTGTAATACTTCGATAAATAGCGCTTAAGTATCTCCAAGATCGAGATTATAATCCGTATAAATTGTAAAAATCGACGAAGAATGGAAGAATCTTGTTCAAAAAACTTTGTGTAATTGAAGAAAGTTGGTGGGCAAGGGGAAGAGCGAAATTTTCGTTGTAAACGAATGGAACATAACGAACGACTGTTTCCTCCATAGCGCCATTATTTTGCCGAGATTTACACGTAAAGCCATCGCGATGGCATAGAGGAGCAATTACTTCGAACGTGATAGATTAAAATTAGCAAAAGGGAACAGGCGCAGCTGTACATAATTATCGCGCGGATATCGGACGCGACCGTGGATTCAACAAATGCAATATCCATTTAAAGCGGCAGTTCTTAACCTGTGATCCGCGGATCCCCCAAGGGGTCTGCCAACTCTTCGAGACGAGCGAATGAGTTACTAGGAGAAAGCACGCAATATTTCTCGCTTTATTTATTCCCGTTGTATACTATTTTTCTTCTATTTTATTTATCCACCGAATGAAATATTGCCGTCGATTGTATGTAGTTTTCTAAAAAAAGAAAAGAATTCAAAAGAGAAAGAAAATTAAAAAAATTCTCTTACACGTTTTTGAAGATTGAGAGTGAGAAGTGAACAATGCCAATTTTTCGGTCGTGCAAAATAATTATTCCGAAGGAAAATCACTTGAATTGAATTCAAAAAAAAAAAATACAAAATTTCAACAATTCAATTCAAATATGTGTGCATTTCAGAGCTAATGAGCAACTTTTTATGCGATATTCCAAAAAAAAAAAATTTAAAAGCTTGAAAGAAGCTGAGTCAATTTAAAGAAACGTCAAAATGTTTCGAGCATACAACACCTCGACGCGCAACGACTACGAGGATAAGGCAGTACGTACGCTCGAAGAAGGAAAAAAGGGAAGAGAAGTGGGAACAACCGAGGAAAAAGGAAAGCGGTGTGCGAGGGAATGCGGGCTGGCAATAAGCAAGAAGGAGGAAAGAGACGGAAAGATGGAAAAAAGAGAGACGCAGGCCACACAGGGAGAGTGTCTCAACCACACAGGTATCGCGGTATCGATGGCAGCCGGTCGTGCGAAACGATTAGCAAACCGTAACGCACCAGAAATCAACCTCGGGGCCTATACGTCAGAACAGGTCAATCAACTCGATGTAATCGGAAATAACGAGTAATATTTGTTTTTCTAACGAGCTTCCCCTAGTTACGAGCTCGCCGCTTTCGATTAATCATCCGCAGTCGATAAAAATCCAGAGACTATGCAAGTGGAATATATAAGTGCCAGATGAAAATTACTAGATTGTTCTTTTAATAGTGGATATTCGATTTGAAAGTTTTAATTTCGAATGTTAAAAAGTATTTAAAAAGAATATTATTAGAATGTTATCGACAGAGAATAATCGATAAAGAATGTTACTAGGATATTATCGATAGAGAATAATCGAAAAAAGATTTATTATAGGACATACTATTATTATCGGATATTATAAAGAATATTAATATTTACAAAGAATTCTGAATGTTAAAACGTATTGGGAAAAAAAGATATTTGAATTTAGACATTTTTCGCAGAATCATTATGAAGAATAAAGTTTTTCAGATTTATTCAGATTTCAAATCATAACCTATTTCGATTAACTTTGACATTTTTTCCCCCTAGTTTAACCAAAACAGAATGAATTGTAGTTTATGATGTGACATTTTTTTTTCTTTTTTAATTTTTTATAAAATATGTTGCAAAATTATATTAATATAAAATATAGATAAAATAAACCTGAAAGATTGATAAGAATAAACTAGTCAATTATTCAAATTGAAATGTTATCTGTATCGTATAACCGTATAACGGTATATCATGACAATTTCTCTATCGCAAGTTTAACTTAACTTATCGCAAGTCATTGCATTCTATAGTCAATTTTGCAATTTGCACTTGCACAGGAAGACAAGATACAAATCAAAAGAATTCTAGTTTCTCTTATAAATAATTGATTTATATCAAAAGATTTTTATCTCAACATAACCTAAAGAATTAATTATCAACTTTACAATTATCATTTAAGTTTAACAAGTTATTTGTAATACAATAAAAAAATAATATTTTTTTATCGCGACATAAACTGGTTTTCTATAAATTGAAAACTGTAACAACCGTAGAATGGCAGTTAAATTATATATTTTTTATAATTTAAAAATTTATCCTTCATGCTTATAACCGTATGTACTTGAATATATTTGCATTAGAAGAATCAGAATGGTCAGTTACTTTTCTTATTTGCAACTGTTTAATAAAAGCAATTAAGAGCGATATGTCGCTGTGACATATATTTCGTAGTGAAACAAAAGACTCGAATGGCTGTGCGCATGATTCGGCCGAGAATAAAGAGCGAACTAAATGTTCCAAGTGGTTCTTCTTATACGATAACAAACATGGAGAATTAAAAAATGGTTACAATTGCTTCTGACCATCGAAACACAATTTCTACTTTTAAAATAATGATGATTCGATGTCGTGTTGATCTTTTTCACTTATAACTTGACACGTTGAAATTGAAATATAATAATAATTAATTATAATAGTATTAACTTTCTTGTCTGTTCTGGAATCATCCATATCCACTCACTTTTCTAATTAATCCGTGATTACATTATGTAAGCATGTCAATGAATTACCCACAATGATTGAGAGACTTCCTCTCTTCGTTTATTGTTCACTACGATTCTTGATTCAAGGTTTCAGAAATATATTAATTATTTCCATTTGAAAACACAAAGTCAACTTGTAGAAAGGAAAATAATATTTTTTTTTTTCTCAACGACTTTATCATCTTTCTACCTAATAACTTTTTATTTACATGAAAAAATAAATTACGCGGTGTAATATAATTATAAATTTAATTACAAATGCTTATGCTTACAAATTAAAATAAGATTTATTAATGGCATTGAAAGCAAAGATATGAATCAGAATACTTTTTGTAATGGAATATAGGTCAACTCGATTTCCATATTATTTTAAGAATTACAAACTACGTTAGGGATAACGTCCTCAAAACCTAGCCTTGTTATCCTTCTGGTGACGATTCAACTTTAAGATCGTCTTACGATTACATTCAATTAACCAGTCGACCTTAACGCTCCCTATATATTTATCTATATAGCATGAATACAAGAGTACGTGTTTAGAAATAATTTCTTTAAATATTTACATGTGAAAATAAAACCATGTATTCAGAATTTTTTTAAATATTTATGAATGCTTTCCTTCGAGACAAAAACAAAAATAACTCTAGTTGTGTTAGTAAAACAGCTATTATCGATGCAATTTTTTATTTGAAAAAGTTAGAAAATTTTACTTATTTTCATGAATAAGAGAAAAAAGTAAAAGTAAAAAATGATTTTTCATCTTAGAAATTAAGTAGAACATATATTATAATTGGGAAAAAATAGAAAGTAGAAAAGGTGATTTTTCATCTGAAAAATTTCTATCATGTATATAACGAGAGAAAGTGGAAGAAGCGATTTTTTTTTTCTCTCTTTAAATTAAAATTAGTAAATTTGTATTATGGATAGATGGAAAAAAATAAAAGTATGACTAGCTAATAACCATTGTTCCATCTAAATTGGCCGCAGGGTCAGTTGAATCACGGAAGCAGACATATCGCACCTCGTTACAACCGATTCATGTATAGTAGCAAAAAAGGTCGTTTAATGAAGTCAAATCGTGATACCACGTATATGATGCACTCACTTCATTCAACTTTCATCCGTGACCTGTACTTAACAGGAAGAGATCCGTTGATCTCGTATGCAGACGGCTTGTCTCGTATGAAATCAGATCTGAAAATGTTATTGTAACACCTCGATCGTTTTTCAGCTTGGTAATCGGCACACGTCTATCAAGAGATTGTGTAATTCAATCTAATCAATTGAAAAATATGAAATTTAAACGAAAGGCCTGTGAATAATTAAATTATTATGTTATTTTTATTAAATTATTGAATTAAATTTTTTCGAAATTAATTCTTATTATTTAAAACAATTCGTAACAATTTAAACGATATATATTTGATAGATGTTTCTCTTAATAAAAAAAAAAATCTTACATGATGTTTCTTTCATTAATCCTATAATAAATTAAACAAAAAATAAAAAATAAGATATAAATAAATATCAACTTATATTATAATTTTTAAAAAGGAAGAAAAAAATATAAGAATCGGTACAAGGAGTGTAAATCTTATCTTATCTTATCTTACGCAATCTTCCAGAGTTAGCGTACGCGAATACATGGTTTCTGGTACGCAAGAAATATTCGAATAATCGAAAATTTCATATTTCAACTGTTTTATAAATACAACATTGATCCAAACGATATCCAATTTTGCAAAAAATTCCAAAATCTATAAAAGAAATAATAATAGCAAATAAATAAATAATAACAGGATTTATAAATATTTAAAGAATTCAAATAATATATTTTCAGAACGTTAAATATTTAACATATACTGTGTATTAATAATTGAGTATACATGTAAAAAATTCATTATCGAAAGTTAAATGATTTTATTATTCGTGGCACGTTCGCTTTGATCTCATATTATCTTATTTTTTTTCAGTTTTAAAAATATAATATTCATATAATTTGTGTATACATTATATTTTTTTAATAGTTTCGTAATAGAGATGATAAAATTTTATATCTAAAATTATAGTTTGCATATTTTGTTTGATTATTTTAATGAGAATCATATATCAGTTATATTTAAATGTCAAAAAAAAAAAATATTCAATTACCAAATCATTTTTCTTGATGATACTACGCAAATAGTCGATTATCATTTTCTGCTCGTCCAAATAATTGGATTATCATTTCCGGTTTTCGATAAAAACTTCAAGGTGTATCGGTATATTTTAGCATGTCCCACGATACGTGAATTGTGCAACGTACTGTATCGTGTTATTACAGAATTTCACCGTATACAACTATATCTCGTCGTCCTCCATTGATTTCGCATACCGCCAACCGCAAATATAATGTAGACTACACACGCACTGTCACTAACTGTTTCGAACAACTGAAAACACGAATAGTATGAGAACCGAATGAAGAAAATGGACAATTGACCGATCGAAGATAAAATAAATATGCAGAGGTCATAGATCATTTCTATCGACTTTGGAATATCAGCATTGTTAATATCGTTACCAATGTCTTTTCATAGTTTACTACTATCACTAGATCGTACACCAGTAACTCTTCATTTTTTTATTTCTGATAATTATTTCCTTGAGTGTTGTAATAAATATTGATAAATATTAATAACGTATTTTTTCAGTAATTGCTTTGATAATAGAGGTTATGTTTAAGTATTCGTTATATGAAAATCGCTGAAAGTACACCAAATTAAACTAATTAATTTTTTTTATTCTACGATACAAGCACAATAAGTATAATATTTATAACAGAAGAACAAGTGTCCATTTTAATCATCCATAACTGTTGCTTTACAAGCTATTCCTAATAACACGATTCTCTTTACGACGCCATCAGAATTTTTAACAATCTTTATATCCATCTTATATACCTCTTACAACTTGTTTTTCACATCTTATTCTTTCTCCTTTTTCCTCTCGTTACCTTTCAATTTCCTATTTCGTTATTTTTCATCTTTCACGTGCCAGTTATTGCGTCAATGCTCTCCCGTTCGAAGGTACATAACCTTCGCGGAAGATTCATGCGTATATTACTTACTCGACACGTGCGTTAGGAGACGCGAGTGAGAGATTCATGAATTAACCAAGATGAGTAACAACGACCTCTCGCGGCTAATTGCCTCCATATTTCTGTATAGTTTGAGATGTTTAGACATTGCCTTTCAAAGAACAGTATAACGGATAAGCGAGCTTGCGGTTTTGCGGGATCACATTTAATCGCAAGTTTTGTAATCAATATCGAAACGTGGTTTTCATAAAAATGATAACATTCGAGCGATTTCTATCGATTATTTGTAAATCGAAATCGGATATAATTGTGAAGATATTTTAAATTTAATGCTTTGTAGATGAATATCGCTACATCGATATCAAAGGTATAGTTGAAATTAAAAAGTTAAAAATTAAATGAAATTAAATAAGTTATAATATATAATACGATGTTTAATTATTGGTAATCAAATTGATTTCATTTCATTTTGTAATGATTGCGAAATTTTGTTATGAAATTTCTTTATGTATTTGATATAAAAAGGTTAGATTGTTTTCTAATTTTCTGCAGTTTCTGCTGTTTCACAGCAGAAACTAGTATATTTACATTTTTCTATCAATGCTCTTACGAATTATGTTTTCTTTCTATAAGGATTGTTTACTTTACATATAATAAAATCTAACCATCAAATTTTCACAAAACAATATATATTCTTGTATAACTCTATAATATTTAAGTCTTTATAATCTTATTTTATGTAGAAAATATTCTCAATCTCTCAAGAATCAGAATCAACATCCGCAAAGAATTAATAATAAAGTATTAAAATAAATATTTGAATATCGTAATCATTATCAATTTTTTAAATAATCATTTTTACTCAAATTTTTATTTGTTGCGATTACGTAATCGATAATAAAATTAATTATTAATTTCTCAATAAAAATAAATTTATTTATTTTATTTGTTTATCCGTTAGGCTAATTTCAAGCTGAGAACCATTCTCTTTTAATTCATAAAAAATTTTGTATACGTCAAATTCGATTTTCATATTAATGACGAATATAGAACTTCTACTGTATATTTCAATCTATGGTCTCTTTAAAAATTCTAAATAGAGATTAAAAATATAAAAAATTTACGAAATATTTCAAAAAATTACAATCACAATCTAATTTCTACTATTTCTACAGATGTTACAGATGCTACTTAACCTATACAACCTATACACCTATATTAATTTATATTTTTTATATCGTATAAATGATATTAAAAATTTCTACGATGTGAAGCAAAAAAAAAAAAGAGAGATAAAATTGCGTTATTCTCTGTTTATCATGTATAATAACGATAACACGGAATGATAAAAGCAACGATAAGAAAAATATATATAATATCTACAATCATTTGAAGAAAATTTTTAACTCGTTTGAAACGTGATAATTACGCGTAATGTCACTTATTGATAAAAATACGTGTATTCTTTGGAAAAATTTTCAACTTATCATCTGTCATTTTCAAATTAGTAATAACGCGTTACTTCGCATTTCATTAATTTTTAACTCGTACTATGATCCTCTGTTTAGTCGAAATCGAATAAAATTTTTAAATTCATTTTTTGTAATTGTATAACGTGTTATATAATAATGTGTTTTCTCAGAGAAAAAAAAATGTGAAATGAGGTAAATATTATCTTAATCTTATCTCTTTGTGTTGCAATCAATGAATTATAAAATACATTATTTTAACAAGTTTATCATAAGAGTGAAAGAATTGTGCTACTTACATTACATACATATTTTTTTTTCTTAGGAGAGCAATGAAGATAAAAGTGACAAATAACCGAATAATTATTATCGTATATATTTAAATAATTAGAATTGTAATAAAAACATATGTATTGTAAAAAAATTTTGACTTTTATTAAAAGCTTTTATTATTGTAACAAAAACATAATAATTTCTGTTCTGATTAATGAAGAGATGTTTTTAAAAAAAAGTACTATTTCATAAAAATCTATAAATATTTGTTTTCATCAACCAAAAAAAAAAAAAAAGGACAAGAAGACGAGGCTTAAGAAACAACTAATAAAACTTTGCTTAATTAATGCAAAGACAGCAGAGAAGCAAGTAATAAAAAATACTTTTAATGACGTCATTTGATTTTTTTGTAAATAGCTGGAAATTTACTATGATTTATTGCGTAGATTGAATAATACTCTGCTTTTTTTTTTATTAATTGGACTTCGTATTGAGGTGTTGCATATTTGAATAATCGTAAATCTTTTTTAAAATTCATTAAATAACTTTTTCTACATTTTTCTTACATATATAATTATATAGATATATCAATGAAACATGGGTAATTTGAATTATTTTTAATATTTTTCTATTTCTAGAGAAGAATCATCAAATCGTTTTACGTATTATCGCTGATACTTGATAATTAAAATACAAATTAATCGAGAAACTTATGTATTTTGTAACATGTACAAGAAGATAGATAGAAAAATAGAAAAAGGAATAGAAATAGCATTACAAGTATGCTTAAGAGATTTAAAATATTCAAGCTATATGATATTCTTTAATGCTTACAATTTATGGCAACTGTGAAAAAGTAGAAGAAAATATTACAAGTTTGCTGAGATGTAAATATTGAGGTATGTGATATTTTTTTTATGCTTAGAATTCATCAGAGAATTAAAAATCATTTATCTTTTCAGATTTCCATCAGTTATAAATTCTTAATCAATTTATCGAAGTTATAATAGAAATTGCAGGGAAATACCAAGGATCGTAAATTCATGAGTTTATAGCAAAGATAAGATATATAAAATCCACGTTTAATTCGCAAAATTCTTTTAGACACACCTATGAAATAATGGTAAATTAAGAGAATCTATCAACAAGTGTATACAACCATATACAACCATAGCATACTTGCTGCTAACTAAGTTAACATTTAGGTGGTTGTACATTATATTTCTGTTACAATATTTAACAATCCATTATATGCCAATTCACGCGTCACTTGTATGAATTTCTATTATATCAATCATCTCTTAATACCAGCAATCACTTCCAATCAGTATCATCTTAATTAAGTAATGGCAAATCGATGCTTTGAGACGATTGAACATTACACTTCTAAAAAAATATATTTATTATTTCACGTCTTCTTGTTTCAAGGAAGGGCTCGTATCTCTAAGCTGAAAAAGTAATTTAATCAAAAAAAAAAAAAAAAAAAAAAAAAAGAAAAAGAAACAAGAATTGATCAAATACTTCTGATTCACATTCCAATATACACACACATATGTATAAAAATAGTTTCAAGACAGGTGAAATTATTTTTGCAACGAGAATATATCTCACGAAAAAGTGTTTTAAGAATAGAAAGATATTCTTCGAATCTTTTACACTAAATTTTTCCATTTATTTTTATTCAGTTAATGGTGTAACTCCAATCGATAGAAAACAGAAGTTCTGCTATAAATTCTGTATTTTAAAATTGGTATAATCACACGGTTATAATACATTAAGGTTAACTGGAGAATATAATAAAAATAATAATAGACGTGTCTTTTTGATAAACTTTTTTCCACCATTTATATATATGAAATAAATTTTTTATAAAATTCGAAGAACGAAGAAGTTTTATGCGTGCATTACACTTATGTGTATCTTGGATATTCGTTATGCTCGATTGTGAGTAGATATAATACCTGTACGACCTTAAGTTCCTGTCGTGGCCTGGATAAGTATTGTGCAACATGTTAATCAAAAGCAGCATGTAATCCTGAGCCTATTTACAAGAATATCCAACGTCATCGTGATCTTAAGAAAATTAAAGAGTTGTAGAGTTGTTCCGCCCTTGAAATGGAACATTCGTATTTACAGTGGGGCTATTTACAGCCAAAATAACTCGCTATGGAACAAAACCAATACGACGTTGGATGGCCTTTAAGAGATCTAATAATAAACTCTACGTACATGCCTTAAAGAAATGACAATACTAATTTTCATGCAAACTTCGAATCTCGTTATTTATGATGGTATGAAAAAAACGGTGTGTTAAATTATTTATCGAGTTGCAATGATTTTTTTTTAAAAATATCTATTTACAAACGTTAATTAAATTGTTAGGTTAGAATAGAAAATTTTTTATCATTTCATATATTAGTATCGAAAAAAATTATTAATTGTCCGATCAAAGAATGCAAATCGATGATAATTTTTCGAAAATTACTACGCTTTCTAAGTCAGAGATTTGGAAAGTATGTCTCGATAGTATGACTAATCGTGATTTACGCGCCGATCCAATCGCACAAACACGTATTGACCAATAATATCTCGTTTCAGAGATGGAAAATATTTTCCATTCACGCGATAAAATAAAATCAAGATTATTATTTATATAACATAAGATGCAATATTCGAATGCATTTGTCATACTATGTAATCGCTATGTAAAGTGACAAACGAACAGTCAATGCCTTGAAAGAAGAAAAGCTATGAATGAATAAGGCAAGTAGTTGTAGGAGTAGCGGAGGTATGTCAACCAATCAGCATCAACGTAACATTTTAGTTTATTATTTAACCTAAAATTTCTCTCTGTTCCCCGCCCTTTTCTCATTCGTTATTACGAGCAATGAATAATTTTGTAAAATTGAACATTTCAAGTTAATATAATATATATAAGTTAATATATATATATATAGTTATTTATCAATTTAATTTTACGATAAGATGTATATTTTAAAAATAATAATTTATCATAGAAATTGAAGTTTCGATATATGGGTATAATCGTAAAATATAATTATTAATCGTTAAAACGTGAAGTTATATGTGCTATTATGCTTTCTCAAATCGGCCAATATAAGTATCCATCCTCCGATTACTTCGAAATATTACTTGCTTGAAACGTTTATTATACTGATAAAGATTTTTCCATTTTATTATCATTCCTTTTTCCCACGTTACGATGACATTTCTGCATATTTATAATTTCATTATTTTATTATATATTATATTAAGTAATTCAATCGAAGTTTAAATTTTCATACATATATGTACGTGATATTATACTTAATTACTGTTAATTCTGTTAATTTCATTTCAGAGACGAAGAAACTATGCGATAACCTATTAGCATTCATCACGAAAGAAAACAAAACCGTCGAGTGACCCCTGCATGTCCCGAGATCGGAGATTTCTGCTCGATTTCCAGGGATTTGTTCAGATTTTTGTAAAAATATAGGTCGCCCGTTAAACGCATGGAGTTTTATCAGAGAAGAGATAAGAATCAAATTTGATTTACACAATTGAGTATAAATAGATATTATTCGTTCAAAGAGTTACAAAGAAAGTGTAGTTAAGTATAAAATACATAAACGGCCATGTTACGTATTATCAAGAAACTAGATTTAGATCGACATCAAAATTGTTGCAGTTATCCTATTGTCCTATCACGCGATAAGAAGCTTTCGTACTGATTAACGTTTTTCATTTCGAAACGAAATTTCACGCCAATTCTTCGCGTGAAGTTTATACAAAATTGATGATACCATCACCAAGATCTAACCGACCGTCGATCGAATACCATCAGCAAATATTTTTTATTTAAAAAAATTCTCTGGATATTCCAAATTACTTGCAAGTACCGATTCCTTTCAAGGTCTTACAATCGCTAACGAAAGGAAGAGAAAAATTTATTAAAAAAAAAAAAAAAAAAAAGGAAAAGAAATCTAATCTCGAATTAAAAAAATCAATTTTTAAAAAAATATAATTCACACGATCCTGTTCATTAATTTCTCGAAATTGACTCGTTTCAGAAGCCAGGAGCAAGATTTCTCAAGAGCGAAGGCCAGCTTCCCTAGAAGGCTGAGTGTGAAACAACCACGTGTGCTCTTACCTCCTAAATTCCGATCTTTCGTTATGGTATCCTTGAAACGGCAAAAGTATCCTTGAACGGTTCACCAATGCACTGGAAAGTGGGATAGAAGGGAGAGGACTGTCTCCGAGGAAATGTTATCGATACTTATTGAGAAGGCGTAACACACACTGGAAGATCGTGGTACCACGGATCGTGGTTGGAAAAGAGTCGGTTGATCGAGTTGAAGACGCGCGCGAAGATGGATCCACGATCGAACGGGCGTAAGATACGATCTATCGTAGCCTGAGGCCGAGTTAGGACTGTGGACTCTGACAGACCACGGGCGAGAGAACGTAGCCAGCGAGCAGGGCTGCCAACTCTGGCCTCGCTCTCTCGCGGACCCCACCACGCGATGCACGCTCTTGGTAGCGATAGGTGTAGCGCGATCTGTCTCGAAGGGAACCGGTGAAATCGTACCGGGGGAACCGCCGATCTCTTATGGTTTGTCCTTTAGAAACGTGTGTTGAATGGTGAATAGGTGACCCCCTGCTGCTTTTTCTTTTCTTTTTTTCTTCTTGTAGATTTTTAAGTAGATTCATAGTCGAGGATAATTTATTGGGAAGATTTGTAGAGATTTTTGACAAATTTTTGAGTATTTTTTTTTTTTTTTTTTGGTGAATTTTAAGCATTAGATGTAGAATTTATAAGTGTTGGTCTAAGACACTTTGATGGTAGAATATAGATATTTGGAAATAAGAAATTTTGAATATTGAATTGAAATTGAGTAGAAAGAATATGAATATTAAATATCTTTGATTGAAATTTTAATGATGTGAATCTTAAGACATAAATTTTTAAATAGATAAAGATTGGAAGGATTATGATTAAATGTAATCTAAGATACTTTATATTTTTGACAAATGATGTGAATTTTAAATATTGAATGAGAACAGTTGAAGTAAAACAGTTTGAGTAAAACGGTTGAAAACAGCTTGATTAAAAGTTGTAACAAAGATAATTATCTATATGGTTCATTGAAAATTTTTGAAATACTTTATGTTGTCGGTAATATAAGATTATATAAAGAATTTTAAATATTGAATGCAGTTTTTGTATTTGAAATTTTGAAATCAATACGTTGAAAAATTAATACAAATAATTTTATTATTATAATTAATATAAAATAATAAATTGAGACAAATAAAAGAAAATTTTCTATATGTAGTGTTATAGATAATTATTGGAATAATCGATTATCTAATAAATTTCATTATTATTATTATTATTATCATCATCAATTCACGCTATTCGTGACATTGAAGTTATGATTATAACATTTTATTTCTTATAAGTGTGATATACAAATTCACGTAACAGTTTAAACATCATTAAAAATATATATTCCTATAAAATCACATCAGACTATTGATAGTCGCTTTCTTAAAGCAGAACACTTTTAAAGAAAATTTCAACAGACTTTCTATAAACATATTCAAACAAAAACATAGATTCAAAAAAAAAAAATTTGATAAAACAAAACTTACACTTAAACTTTTATCATTTAATTGTTAATTTATTTTTCATTGTCAATCAATCAATTATCATTAAAATATTTTAATATTTTACTTTTTGTATTTCATAAGCATTCTGTAGATTTTTCTGTACATTTAAATTTTTCACAAATGCAAAAAAAATAGTCCACACATAACTATATTATTATCATATACATATAACTAGATCGCAGATATTTATGAATGCAAAATATAATTAATTTTTATTATTATAAAAATTAAACTAAAACAATTAAAGAAATGAATCTTAAATAAAGACTTGTCTTATTCTTCAAATGTTACAATGCATACTGCACCTCGAATATTTTGTGCTTTTTTTTTTTTGTTAAATTTTTCCACATTCAAACATCAGCGGTCTAATTATCATGCGAACGATATTTATACAAAACACATGATCGTGAGATATCGCTCACCACTAATTAAGCAATCCACTCATCAATTTCTGCTTACAACAATTTCGCTTGGTCATCCTCCTCAATCTGCACGATCAAAAGGAATATTCTGCTTTATAAAACGTCTCTCCTGCGCTATAATATCAAGATCTCGCTAAAGATAAGCGCGGCCTGTGCATAAAACATAATTCGCGAGAAGGATCACGATTTCACATCCCAAAGATAGGGAACGTTTAATTTTTCATGCATAAGGTGTTGTTTCGTACATCCAGCCATTCCATATTATCGATTATCACTTATTCGCGTCTCTCTTGAGCGGACCAAGAGCGAATTGTCTCCTCTTGGAGGTTGGCTTCTGATCTCTCTCTCTCTCTCTCTCTCTCT